GTCACCTCTGGGGGTGACGGCACAGCCGTCCCCCAGACCACGGGGTCCGGCCCTCCTGCTGGGACTTGCTGGAGCCCCACACTGGCCCCGTGGGCTGCCACACAGACACCGCCTGCTCCCAGGCCCTCCTGTCACCCGCGCTGCAGGTCGGAGCAGCTCTCTTGGGGGTGGAACCTGTCCCCTTCAGAGCCCAGAAAGGCCACCAGGCCCTGCACTTCCTTCTACGAAGTCAGGGCTGGTGAGAGACGCGGCGACTTGTCCCTCAGTCTGGAGGGACGTCCGGGCACAGCCCTGACCACTGGGCCCCTGGACACGGCCCTGAAGTTTGGCTCCCTGAATTCTCGCAGGGCTGACTCACCTCCCGCCCACAGTGACAAATGTGCCTCATAAGGCCCCCGGCACACTGGTCCCCTCTGCCTCCTCCTCCCGGGACGTCATCGCTGCGGCCACATCCTACGGGGTGTTCAGTCCCCAGGTATCAGACTACGTGGGGACAAGGCCAGCGTCAGCACGGCCCCGAGACCAGACTGTGAACGAGTATTGTCGCCCCACCCACGTCAATGAGGACTGTTTCCGATCCTCTTTCTAACCAGAGTGAGAAAGGATGCAATGGCCCGTGTCCTCATTAATCCACTGTGACAGTGACTCGATGCTGGGAACCGCAGCGGCACCTGAGAGACTACTGGCTTGAGCCTACATGACCGGTGGTCACCATCCAGGAACCAGCAGTGTCCTCAAGGGCCCGGCCAGGGAATGACACAGACCGGGGCCACCTCCCTCGCTTCCGGGAGGTCTCCGCTGGAGCCACCGTCCTCCGGGGAGGTGACACTGTCTGCGATTTACCACCTGGCCGTGGAGGGACAGTGTCAAAGGGCTTCCCCACTGTGATGGCCGTGACCACACAGGCCTGACCCCTGACACATGGCTGCTCCATCCGCCAAGCATGTACAAACTGTGGTCACACGCTCGGGGCCAGGCAGTGACACGGGCCGATCTGCCGGCCCAGGGGACGCATGTGACCCACGCTTTGGCCAAGGTTCCTTTTATCGTCCGACCCCTGAACCCCTTCTCCAACGGGGAGGCCAGGACGGCGCCGTGGGCTCCAACTGTCAGCGTCCACCCCGGTCCTGTGCCACCTGTTCTCACAACGCCGTGACAAGCCCCAGTGCCCCGGCACCGAGGGGCGGCTGCACAATCCGGCGGAAGGTATGGACTTGTCCCCCCATCGCCTGGTCCTTTCTCCTGGCAACCCGGCCACCACTGTGATCAGGGGCTTCAGACTGGAAACTCAGCTCAAGTCCAAGAAGGCAGCAAGGGACCGTGGCCGTCCTGCTGGAGCCCCTGTCCTGGGCGTCCTGCTCTGCTCAGGCCGTCCGGGCCATCCCAGATGGGGTTTGCCCCGGGAACAAAGACCTGCCCGGGGATTAAATCCTGCGTTCCCAGGAAGTGTCTCCACCTCACTACCCTGTTTCCCCGAAAATAAGACCTACCCATAAAATAAGCCCCAGCAGGATTTCTAAGCATTTGCGCAATAGAAGCCCCACCCCGAAAATAAGCCCTAGCGATGGACGTGGCTACGCAGCACGTCTGCACAACCCGTGCATTTCATCTCAGAAAAGAAGACGGGCAGCCCTTCTCATCTGCCCCATCGTGACAGCTACTATCCCAGAGGTGACCGGAAAGGTGCACGCAGCCCCACCTACAAGGTCGGCTCCCCCTGTCAGATCCCGGCCATCCTGTGCGTGCTGCAAGCTGAGGCTTTGAGGGGAAAATAACACATCCCCTGAAAATGAGCCCTAGGGTGTCTTCTTGAGGAAAAATAAATATAAGGCCCTGTCTTTTTTTCGGGGAAACACGGCAGTTCTTGCATATCCAGGCTTCTACTCTGTCCTCTGGATGAGTCACCCTCAGGACCCAAGCTGGGGGCTGCCCGCCCCTGCCCCTGCAGCCCGCTGCCGAGTGACCCCGTTCCTCCGGGCCAGGCCCAGCAGGCCCCCAGCCAGGTCACGCTGGGCTCTCCCCAGCCATCGGCCTGGCAGCCGGGAGACGGGGCGGGGCAGCCGCAGACAGACGAGGACACTCCCCACCTTGTGTGGGGCGGCCCCCCCCAAGCTCAGAGGAAGTGCTGGCTCACGGGGAAGGGCGGGTCCCTCTGCACGCTCAGAGGGACAAGGGCCTCAGAGCCACATCCTCGGGGCTGCACTAAGACATCCCAGCCCCTGTTTTAGGGCCCCAGATTTTCCCCGCCAGGGTCCTGACCGCACAGACCAGGCCCGGCCAAGCATCAGACACGCCTGGAGCCAAGCGGTCCACACCGTCACCTCCAGCCAGCCCTCGGCCATTCCCTCCTCCCGCTGCAGGAGATGGGATTTCTTTCCAGCTCCTGGAGGGGCCCTCTGGCCTCCCGCTGAGCCCGGCCAGCACTGCTGGTCAACTGCCCACGCCCCGTCCCTCTGCAGGGCTGTCAGCACGACTCAGAGGTCACCAGCCAACCCCACCGCCCCCGTGCCCTGCAAACGTCCCAACCTGGCGCCACCCTCCAAGGCATTCCCTTCCACCTGGACAATCCCTCAGGTCATTCCTGGTGACGTCTTTAACAGCTGGGCCTCAACCTTGTGCCCAAGGCTACCCAAGCCCCCACATCACCCAGGATGGTGTCCCACCAGTGCACGGCCCCTCGCCACCCCTGCACTGCTTGCGTTAACGGGGTCCTCCCAGAAGCTGGTGCCACCGAGGGTTAGACGTGACTAGAGAGTTGTCAGGGCGATGCCAGTGAGGGATACAGGGGGCTGGCCAAGATGACGGGGCCTCAGGCCGCAGGTGAAACCTTGTGGACAGGGAGGGAGGGAGCTGGCCATGGGAGCCTCAGCCTGCAGCAGGTTCCCACACTATCCCAGCCAGGCTGGGGGGACGCCTGGTGTGAAGGTGATCCCTTAAAGGACCCGGCCTGCGGTAGCAGCCTGTTTGTCCCCTGGGAGAGGCCACTGTCAACTGTGCTCCGCCAGCAGTGGGCCTGAGCCTTGTATTCCCGGCCACCACGCGCCTGCCACACTCAGGCAGACTGAGACGTGCACACCCACACACACTCACTCACCTGCATACACTCACTTACCTACACACACTCACTCACCTGCATACGCTCACTTACCTACACACACTCAGTCACCTGCACACACACTCACCTGCACACACGCTCACCTGCACACTCGCCTGCACACACACTCACCTGCACACACGCTTACCTGCACACTCACCTGTACACACACTCACCTGCACACTCACCTGCACACACACCTGCACACTCGCTCACCTGCACACTCACCTGCACACACACCTGCACACTCACCTGCACACACTCACCTGCACACTTGCACACCTGCACATATACTCACTCGCCTGCACACACACCTGCACACTCGCTCACCTGCACACTCACCTGCACACACTTACCTGCACACTTGCACACCTGCACATATACTCACTCGCCTGCACACACACCTGCACACTCGCTCACCTGCACACTCACCTGCACACACACTCACCTGCACACACACTCACTCACCTGCACTCACCTGCACACGCACTCACACACCTGCACACTCACTCACCTGCACACTCACACACTCACCTGCACTCACCTGCACACGCACTCACACACCTGCACACTCACACACTTGCACACTCACACCCCATCTCCTTGGACTCGCACTCCAAAGGCGTCTGCTGTCCAGGGAGGGTGGGCCGTGCACGGGGAGGGGCCCGGATGGCAGGAGCTGCCAGGAGGTCCCGCCCCTGCGTGGGGCTCTGGGAACCAGGAGCTTGTGGGAGGGTGAGGACAGAGGCATTTGGGGACGAGCTTTAGCGCCTTGTGGGGTGGCTCCATGGCAGCTTTTTCCCTCCTTGGGAAAGTTGGGAGAAAGTTGTTCGGCCACCACCAATGGCACATTGGGGACACAGGGCAACTCACAGAGCCCTGTGCTCTGCCCCTTTCCATGCAACCAAGAGACGGACTCAGATGGACAGTGTGGTGGAGGGAGCGCGGCCCCGAGACGGGAGGGTGTCCACACAGGGAGGCCACCTCACACAGCACAGGTGAGAGCTCAGGGGCTCTCTCCTCCCCCGGGAAGGGGCTAAAGCAGAGACTTGAGGCTGGAGCGAACTCCGCCTCGCTTGCGCCTCCCATCCCTGGAGTAGGAGCCCTGGGTGCAGGGGCTGTGCCCCCAGGGTGGGAGTGGGGACCCCAGCCACAGCCTGCCCACGCCAGGACCCCTTCTCACCCCACCTGGCTGGGCTCAGGGACATGGTGGTGGCCCCACGGTGGAGGGGTGGCTAGGCCGGCATCACCAGGCCCTGGCCCACCTCTGCCGCAACCCACGCCAGCCGGGTCCTCATCTCTGACTCAGCCCTCTCTCGCCCCAGAGGGCCGTGTGTGTCCCGAGCCCGTGAGGGAGTGGGGGGTCTCGGCCTGCCCTGGTCGTGGCGCAGCTGCAGCGAGGGGGAGGGGGGCCACACGGCTGGTGCTGGGGAGGGGGCGACAGGGACCAGGCTGGGGCGTGAAGTCAGACAGGCCGGGGCGACCCCGACTTTGCTGGGACTACTTCAAAGAGAAGTGGCAGGCTCCCCGCCTCACCCCACTCCTCCCAGCCCCCTCGGGCCTTCCTTCCGCCTCCTCCAATGCCCCGCCCGTCCTCTCCCGCCCCGCGGCCGGCCCCACCAGCCCCGGTCCCCTCCCAGCCTCCAGCCGTCCCCCGACCCCCTTCCCACTTCTCCCGCCCCTTTCTGGTCCCTTCGGACCCCCTCCCCATCCCTCCCGCGCCCTCCCGGCCCGCCGGCCCCCGCCCCCGACGGTCCCATCCGCGGGGCCGCAGCGCCTCCCGGTGGCCGCGCGGTCGGGACGCGCCGCGGGCGGGGCTGGGGGTATAAGTGGGCGGCCCCCGCCGCGGTCCCCTCCCTCCGGCCCACTCGGCGCCGCGTCTCGGCGTCAGGACCCGGAGCCTCGGACGTGTCCAGCCAAGGCGCCCGACGCGCGCTCCGGGATCGGGTAAGCGCCCTCGCGGCCCGGGGACCCGCCGTCGGGGACGGGGCCGCGCCCGGAGCGCCCAGGCGGGGCCCGCGAGTCCTGGCCCCGGCGCGGGAGCAGGGTCGCGGCGGGAGCGGGGGCTCCAGCGGGCCGGGACGGCGGGCCGCGCCCCGGGACTCGGCCGGCCCCTGCGTGACGGACGTTCCCCCTCGGAGGGGCCGGGGCCACGCCCGCCTTTGTGGCTCCACATTTCGTCCCGGGGTTGGCGCTCAGCCCTCCGCGCGCCTTCCGTGCGCTGCGCCCCGACGGGGCAGAGCTGGGGGGCTTCCTCCGCTGCCCCGGGCTCGGGCGGGGCCGGGGTCTCGAGATGCCGGAGTGTGGATCGGCTGCGTTTACAGCCACAAAATGAGGCATTAAAAAGCTGGGGAAATGTCGCTCTCGTGATTATTTTAAGAAACACAGAGATAGACTCTTTCCGTGCAAACTCGGCCCAAGTTTGCCCTCCTCCTGTGGCTTCTTTCAAGGGTTTTTGCAAAGCCGGGGATGGGGGTGGGGGGCACACCCTGGAACAGGCGGGGGCGGTGGACGGGACCGGGGAGCCAGCCCTGCCCGCGCGCGCGGGGCCTGCGCGCTCTCCGAGGGCCGCCCGGACCCACCAGAGGTTCCAACACCGACGTCCGGCCCGGACCGCGATCAGGGCGCGGTGACGGGCGCTGTGACAGGCTGCGAGGGCACCCCAGCTCTGAGGAATGCTCTTGGAAGGGCAGGCTCGGGGTCTGAGGGGCTGAGAAGTTGACACTTTTCAAGCCTGTTGCCAGACGCCCGCCGGAGCGCTGCAGAAGGGCCTGGTGTCCTCGGCAGTGGACCGTGTCGCCGTCTTGCCTTTTTGCCCATTTCACAGTCAAAGAGCCACACCTCAGCTGTGGGTTTCTTCTGCCTGTCTCTGGCCTTTGTGCGGGGCACTTTGTAGTTTTATTGTGGCTTCCCCGTGTTCCTAAGGGTGTCCATTTTTTGCTGATTTGTAAGAGCTTTTTCTTCCCCAGTTCGTTTATATGGTGGTAACATGCTCGCGACAGGAAATTTACCCTCTTACCCGTTTGCAAGTCTGACGGCCGGGGGTACCAGGGACTTTCATGTTGTTATGCAACCGCCACCACCACCCACCTCCCAAACCAGAATCTGTTCAACACTAACTTTCCCCCCACCCCAGTCCCGGCAGCCACCGTTCTGCTCTCTGTCTCGGCCAATTTGGCCACTTGGGGTGACTCGTGTAAGTGGCATCAGTCACATCTGCCCCTTTTGTGACGGGCTTATTTCACGTAGGGTACTGCCCTCCCGACAGATGTCAAGATCTGCTTCTTCCGAAAGCTGAGTGACATCCACCGTGTAGACCCCACTCTGGTTAGCCGCTGTTCCCGGACACTCCCTGGACTGCCTCCCTGCCCTGGCCACTGTGCATGGTGCTGTGTGGATGCGGGTATACAAACACCTCTCCGGGGCCCCACTTCAGTTCTTTTGCATATAAACCCAGCAATTCACTGGATCATTTGACAATTCTGTTTCTAATTTTTTGAGAGACCACCTGACTGTTTTCCACAGTCACTATACCATTCAACATTCCACCAGCAGTGCATTTCTCCACATCTTCACCAACGCTTGCTGTTTTCTGGATTTTTTTTTTTTTATAGTAGCCTAATCAGTGTGAGGCAGTAGTCACTGAAGTTTTGGTTTTCGTTTCCCTAATGCTTAGTGGTGTTGAGCATCTTTTCATGTGCTTGTTGGCCATGTGTGTATCTTCTTGGAAAAAATGTCTGTTTAAGTCCTTTGCCCATTTTTGAATCGGGGTTTTTGTTTTGTTTTGTTTTGTTTTTTTGTGGCTGAGTTTTAGGAGTTCTCTATACATTCTGGATACTGATTCCTTCCCAGATACATGATTTGCAGATATTTTCTCCCATTCTGTGGGTTGCCTTTTTATTGTATTGATAGTGTCCTTGGATACAAAAAAAAAAACAACTTTAGATTTTGATGTAGTCGGATTTATCAATTTTTTCTTTTGTTGTGTGCCTGTTACCATATCCAAGAAATCAATGCCAAATCCAACGTCATGAAGCTATTGCCCCATGTTTGCTTCTAAGGATTTTAACGTTTTAGGTCTTATGTTTAGGCCAGGGGTCCGCTTTGAGTTAATTTTGGTGTTAGGTGAGGGTCTAACCTCATTTGTTCTTTTTGCACATGAGGATCTCTTTTGCACATGAGGATCCAGTTTTCCCAGCACCGTTTGTTGAACACACTGTCTTTCCTGTATCAAATGGGCGTGGCAGCCTTGTTGAGAATCGCTTGACCCTATGTGCAAGGGTTTCTTCCTGGGCTCTCTGCTCCACTCCACTGGTCTGTGTGTCTGTCCTCACCCCAGAGCTGCACTGTGGGTTACTGCAGCTTTGTATGATCAGTAAGTTTGAAATCAGGAAGTGGGCATCCTCCTGCTTGGCCCTTTTCTTTCAAGATCATTCCGGCTACTCTGGTCTCTTGGGATTCCATATGCATTTTAGGAGGGGTTTTCTATCTCTGCAAAAAAATGTCACTGAGATTTTGCCAGGGATTGCATTAAATCTGTAGATCGATTTGGGTAGTATTGATTACTTAACAATATTAAGTTCTGATCCATGAATATGGATGTGTTTTCTTTTTCACATATTCTTTAATTTCTTTCAGAAATGTTTTGTAATGTTCACTGTACAAGTCTTTCGCCTCCTAAATTAACATTTAAATTTTTACTAAATTTGGTACATTTAAATGTAAATGGAATTGATTTCTTAATTTCCTTTTTGGATGATTAATTGTTAGCAGATAGAAATGATACAGATTTTTGTGTGTTGATTGTGTATTTCGCTACTTTGATGAATTTGTTTATTAGTTATGCAGGTTTTTTTGGTGTCTTTAGGGTTTTCGACATGTAAGATCATACCATCAGTGAACAGAGATAATTTTACTTCTTCCTTTGCAATTGGTATTTTTTTTTTCTTGCCTAATTGCTCTGGCTAGGGCTTCCAGTACTAAGCTGAATAAAAGTGGTGAAAACAGGCATCCTTGCCTTGTTCCTGAAAAAGCTTTCAGTTTTTCATAATTGAGTATAATTTTTGCTATGAGTTTTTCATACAATATGGCTTTTATGTTGTTGAGGTAGTTTTCTTCTATTCCTAGTTTTTTGAGTGTTTTAGCATGAAAGGGCATTAAATTTTGTCAAATGCTTTTTCTCCATCAGTGGAGATGATCACTTGGGTCTTTTTCCTCCTTCATTCTGTTAATGAGCATTACACTGATTTTTGTATGTTGAACTATCCTTGCATTCCATAAAGAAATCTCACTTGGCCATGGTGTGTAATCCATTTAATTGAATAGATTATAGCGAATTCAGTTTGGTAATCTTTTGTTGAGGATTTTTATTTCAATGTTCCTAAGGGATATTGTTCTATAGTTTTCTTCTCTTGTAGTGTCTTTGTCTAGGTCTGGTATGAAGGTAATTCTGGCCTCACAAGGATGAGTTGGGAAGTGTTCTCTTCAAGGTTTTTGAAAATTTTGAGAGGGTTTGGTGTTAGTTTTTCTTTAAATATCTGGTAGAATTCACCAGTGAAGCCATCAAGTCCGGGGTATTTTCTTTGTCATTAGATTTCTGATTACTGATTGATTCAATGTCCTTACCAGTTATAGATCTATTCAGATTTTCTATTTCTTCATGGTTTGCTCTTGATAAGTTTTGTATTTCTAGAAATTTGTCTGTTACATCTAGGTTATCCAGAGAAGATACTTTTTAAATCTCTCAACACTGCCTGTGTTGTTTGCACCTCCTGTCATTGTTGGAAGCCCTTCCCCCTCTGGCTAAAGTGACTTCTAGGAGGTTTGAAGAGCTGGCATCTTTTCCCCCCTTCATTTTTCTCTATTTCCCCTTATGGGAGCCAGAACATTAAAGACCAACACATTCAAAAGCAGCCACATACATGGAGGAAATTAGAAAGTTATTACACATCCCCAAGAAAAGGCACAGGCTCAGAAAAGACCTTAAGTTTACACTTTATGCTTATCCTTAGCACAGAGACAGCCTATAATAATCAAAAAGTTTTTTAAAAAAAAACCAAAAAGCCCTGGGGACGGGGGGGATTCTGATTTCTAGAGTTACCACATTATTGGATTCAAATGTCCAGTATCCAAAAGATTCAAAGGAAAAAGAAATGCACCAACAGAGACTGTCACTGAAAAAGCCTTGTTGGTGGATCTACTACACAAAGGCTTTAAAAGGACTACATTAAAGATGCTCAAAGAACTAAAGGAAGATGTGGAGAAAGTCAAGGAAACTATGTATAAGCGAAATGGGAATACCAACAAAAAGCTAGAAAATCTGAAAAGAAACCAAAGAAGAAATTCTGGAGCTGAAAAGTACAATCACTGAAATTAAAAATTCACTAGAGGAATTCAAAGGCAGATTTGAGCAGGCAGAATAAGGAATCAGTGAACTTGAAGATAGGATGATGGAAATCATTCAGTCTGAGGAACAGAAAGAAAAATATTGAATAAAAGTGAATAAGACCCAGGGGCCTGTGGCACACTATTGAGTGAACCAACATACACATTGTGAGAGTCCCAGAAGAAGACAGTGAAAGGGGCACAGAGAATATTTGGCTGAAAAGTTCCCAAATTTGATGAATGACATGAATATAAACCTCAAAGAAGCTCAATGAACTCCAAGTAGGATGAAATCAAAGAGACCCACGATGAAACATTATAATCAAACTGTCAAAACCCAAAGACAAAGAATTTTGACAGCAGCAGGATAGTATGACTTATCACATACAAGGGATTCTCAATAAGATTATCAGCAAAATTCTTCATAGAAACTTTGAAGGCCAGAGACAGTGGGCCAATACATTCAAAGTGCTAAAAGGAAAAAAAAAAAAAGAAAACCGTCAACCAAGAAGCCTATATCCATCCAGAAAAACTGTCCTCAAACATAAGTGAGAAAGAAATTAAGATAGTACCAGATAAACAAGAGGTGAGGGTGTGTGTTCATTACCATTAGATCTGCCCTATAAGAAATGCTAAAGGGAGTCTTATAGGTTGAAAGGAAACAATATTAGGCAGTAACTCAAAGTTATATGACAAAATGAAGATCATAGTAAAAGTAAATACATGGACAATTATAAAAGCTAGTATTATTGTAACAATGGTATATAACTCCACTTTTTGTTTTCTACTTGATTTAAGAGACAAATACATTTTTAAAAAAATAATTACTAGTCTAAATGCTAGTATTATTGTAACTTTGATCAGCAATTCTATATTTTGTTTAATACATAATTTTAAAAAGTAATGAATTAAAAGTAATATTAGTTTATGTTTTGGGGCACACAATAAATAAAAATATAATTTTGTGGCATCAATAACTGAAAGGGCTGGGAGCAGAGCTGTTAAAGGAGCAGAGGTTTTGGATGCTATCAGAGTTAAGCTGTTATAAATTCAATTTAGACTGTTATACTTTTAGGATGTTTAATGTAGTTTTCATGATAACCACAAGAAAATAAAGGAAATGAGAAAGGTCTTTAAATGTTTCACTGCCAAAAAATCAACTAAACACAAACGAAGACAGCAATGCAGGAAAGGAGGGACAAAAAATCCTTAAGGTAGGCTGGGCGCGGTGGCTCACGCCTGTAATCCTAGCTCTCTGGGAGGCCGAGGTGGGCGGATTGCTCAAGGTCAGGAGTTCGAAACCAGCCTGAGCAAGAGCGAGACCCCGTCTCTACTATAAATAGAAAGAAATTAATTGGCCAACTAAGATATATAGAAAAAATTAGCCGGGCATGGTGGCGCATGCCTGTAGTCCCAGCTACTTGGGAGGCTGAGGCAGAAGGATTGCTTGAGCCCAGGAGTTTGAGGTTGCTGTGAGCTAGGCTGATGCCATGGCACTCACTCTAGCCTGGGCAACAGAGTGAGACTCTGTCTCAAAAAAAAAAAAAAAAAATCCTTAAGGTATGCAGAAAACAAAAGCAAAATGGAAGGAGTCCCTCTTTATCAGTAATTGCTTTAAATGTAAATGGCTTAAAACTCTCCAACTGAAAGACAGAAATTGACAGATTGGATTTTAAAAACCATCATCTAACTGGATGCTCTCTACAAGACACTCACTTTAGATCCAAAGACATAAATAGGTTAGGCTGACAGAGAAAGGATAGGAAATGATATTCCATGCAAATAATGACCAAAGGAAAGCAAGGGTGGATATACTAATATCAGACCAAAAAAAAAGGGAGGGGGGTTATAAGAGAAAAAGAAGGATATTATATATTAATAAAAGACTCAACATAGCAAAAAGATATAATGATTATAACTATTTATGCACCTAATGACAGACCATCAGAATTTTTATATCTTATGGATATAAAATCTTGATCACACATTGGGAACACTACTGCCTGCTGCTTGGTCTGTTTCTACTCTGTTCGTGTTGCTTTTGTTGCAATGAGGGTCGTAATGTGGGAGCTTGGAAGCCGTAGGTTCTGTTTTCTTCGAAGGCGTTTTGATTCATGTTTTGCAGCCAGACACTTACTTCGGCTGGAATTTATGTGGGTGCGCCATGGGGAGTGGGATCCTGTTTATTCCTGCTCACATGGTGAGCCCTGTCCCAGCCTGCTTCCACCACCCTGAAGGGCCACCCTACCGTTTCCTAAGGCCCTGTTGGTTGTTATGCCCATTGCTGTGTGGTCAGGTGGCCTGTTCCAGAACCAAAACCCAAAATTCTGATTTTATTGTATCATTTGCACTTGACAGTGCAAGTTTTCTCATCACTCTTATTTTTGTCCTCTCCTTCCCTTGCTTATTCTTCTAGGTGACATTTAGATTATTTGCCAACTCCTACCAGCAAAAACTCAAAAATTTTTCTTAGAAATTTCAATTTAAATTGCATTCATTAATAATTTCGGTTAGACATAACTGATATTTCTACATATCAGTTTAAGAAATTTAGATGACTTCTCATCCAAAAACAAAGTTTGTCTCTCCAATGTGTTCCTCAAAAAACTTTTTGAGTTTTTTATTCCTAAGTCCTGCGTATTCTTATTACATTTATTCCTTGGATTTATGTTGTTTTTCTTATTCATGTAAACAGTATTTTTTCCATAACATTTTCTAATTGGTTGTTAGAAGAAGATCAATAGATTTCTGTATATACTTTTCTAACTGGCTCAGTAAATTCTCTCTCTCTCTCTCTCTCTCTCTCTCTCTCTCTCTCTCTCTCGCTCTCTCACTCTCTCTCTCTTGCTCACTCCAAAACTTTGTTCAGTTAATTTTCTTTGATTTTCTAGGTAGACAGTCCTATCTTTCATAAGGATAGTTTTGTCTCTTTTCCAACATTTATACTTTGTTTCTTTTTACTGTCTTATTGCACTGGCTTCCCACACTACAGTGAATAGCAGTGAGGTTGGCACTCAATGCCTTTCTTTCTGTACAGGATTCTAGTCCGTGCACTGCACAAGTATTAACCCACGATCAGACCTATGAGTGGCATCCCTCGATTCACGGACGTGATTTCTACATATGGGTGTCTGTGCATTCCTGTCAGGTGAAATTGTCCAGATTCTTAGAGGGGTGCATGATCCACAAAGATAAGAACCACTATTTTAGTTTTCTTGTATAAAATATGATGTTAGCTGTTGATTTGAAATTTACATCCTTTATAATGTTAATTCTACTACTGAGTTTCTTATGAGGTTTTGCCTTGTCTGGTTTTATTTTTTTCTTAATTAGAAATGGATATTTTGGGGGACCTCTTAAAGCAGTTGCATCTTTTTCTCTTTTTTTGTGACTTACATTAATATATTTCCTAGTGTTTGTTAAAGCATTGTATTCTTAACTAACTTCATCTGAGTTAGAATTTTTGCAACTATATCTAAAAGCAATATTTATCTATAGAGTTAGTTTTAGGGATTTCTTTTATCAAGTTCAAGTCTCCGGTTATGCCAGGCTTAAAAATGAATTGCAAAGAAGTTTATCTTTTTATGTTGCTAGCCCTTGAAGGTGTGCAAGAACTCACCCACGAACTGCCTGGCTAGAGCCTTTTGGGAAGGAACTTCCTGCCAGACTTGCTGTCCCTCCCCAGGCCAGGCTGGGTGGGTCTGATCTGGGTCATCCATCCTCACAGCACAGAGACCCTCCCCTGGTTCCAGCACAGGGCCTTGTCTCCCGTTTCCCTGGGCCTTTGGCGATCTCGATGGGCGTTGGCACGGAGCGGAGGGTGATACCCACACTGACTCTGCGTCGTCTCGTCGAACTGGATGTTCAAACCATGTCCTTGAGCCACCCCCACTGTGGGAGCCAGGTGGCCGCAAGGACCCTGGCCAGCTCTGGGTCCATCCCAATGGGCTCCTGCAGCTCCTCCTGGAGCTCAGGCCCAGCCAGGATGTGCAAGGGAGAAGGGGCTGGATTCACTTGCTCTGGGGACCTGGGACCCAGCAGAAGCCAGGCTGGGTCCCCCTAGCACTTGACAGAGTCCTCTCTCAGTTATCCACGTCCCATTCAAAGGGGAGGAGGCTGGGCATGGCGGCTCACATCTGTAGTCCCAGCACTTTGGGAGGGCAAGGTGGGAAGATCACTTGAGGCCAGGAGTTCAAGACCAGCCTGGGCAACATAGTGAGACTCCGTCTTTACAAAACAAAATTAAAATTATCTGGGCATGGCGGTGCTCACCTGCAGTCCCAGCTACTCGGGAGGCTGAGGCAGGAGGTTCAATGGAGCCCAGGAGTTTGAGGCCCCAGTGAGCTGTGATCACACCGCTGCACTCCAGCCTGGGCGACAGAGTGAGACCCTGTCTCTAAAGCAGAAATAACTAAAGGGGAGGAAACCAGGCCTGAGGGAGGGTAACTTGCCTGGGGTCGGAGCCCTTCCCTGAGAGCAGCCTGGCATCTTCCCTGCCCTCCCCTCTGCGGCTGCTTCCCCCAGCTGCTTCCCCTGCAAACCCAGGCAGGGGAGGGTCTCGGAGGACAGGGAGGGGCCTTGAACGTCCAAATCCCACCCAGAACTGAGCCCTGGGTACCCACTAACTGTCTGTGGTCCCGCCCAGGGTTGGGGAGAAGGTGCGCCCCCCAGCTCTGGTGGCCATGCGTGCCGGGCACCGGCCCCTTCTTCCTGGAGGAGTGAGGGGCAGGCCCGTCCCGCTGACCTGCTGTGCGCCCGTGTGGGGCTGAGGGTGGGGGGCAGGCGGCATCTGCAGCGACCCCTCCCCCCTGTTGCAGCGCCTCCGGACACTCGGTGCCGCCAAGATGCTGCGGGGCGCGTGCCGCGCGCTCCTGGTCTGCGGGCTCCTGGGGGCCCTCCGCGCCCAGCAGCAGGAGGTCATCGCGCCCGCCCCCTCCGAGAGGAGCAACAGCTGCCCAGGTACGCGCTGGGGGCGGGCGGGGCGGGCCCCGGGCGGCGGGCGGCGGCGGCGGGGGTGGCGGCGTGACAGGCCGTGACAGGCGCGTGCCCCCCAGAGAAGGCCGACTGCCCGATCAACGTGTACTTCGTGCTGGACACCTCGGAGAGCGTGGCCATGCAGCCGCCCACGGACGGCCTGCTCTACCACATGCAGCAGTTCGTGCCGCAGTTCATCAGCCAGCTGCAGGACGAGGTCTACCTGGGCCAGGTGGCCCTGAGCTGGCGCTACGGCGGCCTGCACTTCTCGGACCAGGTGGAGGTGTTCAGCCCTCCGGGCAGCGACCGCGCGTCCTTCACGCGCAGCCTGCAGGGCATCCGCTCGTTCCGCCGCGGCACCTTCACCGACTGCGCGCTCGCCAACATGACGCAGCAGGTGCGCAGGCAGGGCGGCCGCGGCGCCGTGCACTTCGCCGTGGTCATCACCGACGGCCACGTCACCGGCAGCCCGTGCGGCGGCGTCAAGCTGCAGGCCGAGCGCGCGCGCGAGGAGGGCATCCGGCTCTTCGCCGTGGCCCCGAACCGCAACGCCAAGGAGCAGGGCCTGCGCGACATCGCCAGCGCGCCGCTCGAGCTGTACCGCAGCGACTACGCCACGATGCGGCCCGGGTCCACGGACATCGACCAGGACACGATCAACCGCATCGTCAGGGTCATGGTGCGGGCGCGCGGCCGGGGCAGGCCGGGCCGGGGGGGGCGGGGAGAAGCCGGGAGGGGCGGGGATGGGAGAGGGCCCGGGACGGGGTGGGCCCGGGGTGGGCCGGGGCGGGCAAGGATGGGAGGGGGTGGGGGATGGCAGGGCATGGGGTGGGCGGCTGATGGGAGGCGAGGACGGGTGGGCAGGGGCGGGCGGGACTGAGGAGGCTGGGGACGGGTGGGCAAGGGGGCGGGGCGACTGTGGAGGGGCGGGGACGGGCTGGTCCGCGCGGGGGAGGCCGAGGAGGCCGAGGACCCGGGTCCCTCGCGAGCTCACTGGCGCCCCCGTCTTTCCGCAGAAACACGAAGCCTACGGGGAGGTGAGTGGCGCCCCCTTCCCGCCAGCGCCGGGCGGCCTCTGCGTCTCCAGGCACCGACCGCAGAGACGACCGCACCGGCTCCCACAGTACTGGCCGAGACGTTTGCGTTTGGACGGAGGCTCTGGGCCCAAGTCCCCGTCTCAGTGTCAGGCGCCGCCACCGCCGGCGGCGGGAGGGAGGGCGGGGCGTGGATTTAACCCGTGTATATCGCGTGGGGCGCTCCAGTGCCCTGCCCAAGCTCTTTAGTCCTTGTTACTATACTTGCCGTGGCTGAAACCCAGCCTCGGTTTTCCTCGACTGAGAACCACACTCCCCGGCACCAGCCCCGGGCGGGCATTTGAGGCCCACGCGTGTCCTGAGCGCCCGGGATTGTCCCGCAGGCCTGACCCGTCTCTGCTTCCCCGCAGTGCTACAAGGTCAGCTGCCTGGAGATCCCCGGGCCGCCGGGCCCCAAGGGCTACCGCGGACAGAAGGTAAGATGCCCGGAAGCCCCTTGACCCTCGCCGTCCGATCCCACAGTTTAAGGCCAGCTGTGCCTCAGACCGTCTGGACACCTGTGACCCTGCAGAAACTAAAATTTGATTTTTGTGCACTTCCTTTTAAATGGCACTTTGGGAAAAATAGGGGCTTTTGATAATCATTAAGCTGTGTCGCTGAAATGCCTCGAGTGGGCTTGCTCGGGTGAGCAATAAAACACCAGACGTGTTAATAACATGACTGCCCCTTGACGTGAAGCAGCCACGCTGGGGTTTATCGGTGCGTGGTTTGGGAAGTCTGGCTTGAATGGCCCTTCATTCCCCTAACAAGAGGTACATAATGAGATCCAAAATTCACTAACAGAGTTTCTGGAACTTTAGTAATTCACATCTGTCAAAACTTGTAAAGAAAGGCAGAGGAGGAGAAAGAAACTTCTAAGAAGACCACACACAGAGTTTAAAATAATATCATAAAGGAAGTTACTATTAAGAAGCGTCATATTTTCTTTCTAAATTCGGATGAGTGAGAACCACCTGGACCAGTAGGTATCTGGGTGCACTTTCTCCAGGACGAGACGTCTCCAGGCCTCCAGCGGACCCTCCCCACCACCCCCTTCCCCGGCTTCTCTCGGGCCTGGCAGCCATGCCCGCCCCACCACAGCTGCAATGAATTTGCCTCTCCAGGCAGCCTTGGGCGCGCACAGCAGTGCAGTGGCCGCGTCCCTGTGGGCGGGGCTGCTGGAAGCTGCTGTGGGGGCCACTCTGGTTAGAGTCTGAGGGGCAGTCAGGTGCCGAGGAGGCCCCAGGACAGGGCAGGGCCATGATGTTCCGGAAGCCTCCGCTGGCCTCTCAGTTCTGCTGGACTTTCCTCCCTGACGTCTCCACGCTGAGCAGCTTCTCAGAGGAGCTGCGGCGGGTTCCTGGCTGCCTCGGTTCACCCTTTTCTCTGTCGTCTGCTTTTAGGGCGCCAAGGGCAACATGGGCGAGCCGGGAGAGCCCGGCCAGAAGGGCAGACAGGTGAGCATCTGCGGTGCCGGCCCCGCCCCGCCCTCCGGCCCCAAACCTTGGCTGGGGTCACATGCGGCTCTCTTCCTCCACAGGGAGACCCAGGCATCGAAGGCCCCATCGGATTCCCAGGACCCAAGGCGAGTCGTGGTGGACAGGGCGGCCTCTCTCGGCCCCCCAGCGCTGGCCCTGCCCCCCAGCCCACCTCCCCCACCCATTACCAAGGAAGAGAAGCACCTGGATAGGTCGAAGGTCACCCCAAAACCCAGCATCCGGCCGACCCATGGCCAGGCTGCTTCCACCGACTCTGTTAGAATCCTAGTTGCTGGACGCAGCGCTCGCGCCCTTCGACCCCACTCTCTAGGAGCAAGGAGGTGACTAACGCCCTGCTCTTTCCTTCTGCCCGCAGGGCGTTCCTGGCTTCAAAGGGGAGAAGGTGAGTTTCCGTTCCGGCGGCTGGACCTCAGACCTCGCACCGGCCTCAGCCAGACTCGCCGCGGCCACGGCCATCAGAGCCTGCGGTCACTCCTGGGGGGATGGGCCCGGGCTCTGCACCGGGGTGGCTTTGGGGTTCTGGGGTGCCTCTGGCCTCATGCTGGGCTGGCGGGCTCCGACTTGCACCCAGAGACGGCAACATCTGTGGCTCTGGGGCCGCCGTGCTAACTGCCTCGCTTTCCCCCTCGCAGGGTGAATTTGGAGCCGATGGTCGGAAGGTAGGCAGGCCGGGCGGGCAGAGCCTCAGTTTCCTGCCGCTTGGAGGGCACAGGGACGGGGGCTTACGGAGACCCCTCCCCTCTCTCCCCAGGGGTCTCCCGGCCTGGCTGGCAAGAACGGAACCGACGGACAGAAGGTACAGTGGGGCTTGGGCGGGTCACGGGCCTGGTTTTTTGGGGACGTCCCAGCCTGCCCTGCAGAACCCCCAGGTCTGGCCTGACCCAGCAGTTCACGCGCACACATGTGGAATCGCTTTCGCACATGTGTGCTGGGCCGGGAGCCCCGCAGCCCCGCGATGTGGCGCTGGCCTGGACTGCGCCTTTGTTGGCGGCTCCACCCTCGGCACACGCAGACCCCAGAATCCCGCTCTGACGCTGCCTCTGCGCCCCCTTCTCCTTCAGGGCAAGCTGGGGCGCATAGGCCCCCCAGGCTGCAAGGGGGACCCCGGGAGCAGGGTAAGTGAACCTCGGCTCGGGGCATATGGGGGCCGGCGGGAGCTGCCTATAGCCAACGCTTTGGTTCTCCTGCAGCCCAGCCGCTCCCTGCCCGCCCCGACCCCAGCCAAGGGCTCAGCGGGGTGTGGGGTCTCCGTACGGGACCCCCTCGGGAGCCTCTAGGTTGTGTGCCCTGCCTGGTGGGCTCCCGGGGCCCTGGGACCCTGGAGTTTGTGGAACGTTGGCGCTGTGGGCCGACTGTGCCCGGGGCTGGGGGCAGGAGGCTGGGGGCTGGGGGGGCAGGGGCCTCCCGTGAGGGTGAGGGCAGGGGTCTCGGGGCTGGGGGGCAGGGGTCTCGGGGCTGGGGGCAGGGGCCTCCCGTGAGGGTGGGGGCAGGGTCTCAGGGCTCGGGGGGCAGGGGCCTCCCGTGAGGGCAGGGCTGCCTCCCAGGCCCAGACCAGGGATGTGGCACTCTGGGCCCGGGCTGGGGGAGCCCACGCCCTGTCCCTACCCCTAACTGAGCCTCCTTCTCAGGGCCCCGACGGCTACCCAGGGGAGGCAGGGAGCCCGGGGGAGCGAGGAGACCAAGGTGCCAAGGTAGGTGACCCTGCAGGGTGTGGCCCAAGCAGGCCGCTGTCACCACCCTGCAGCGGCTGAGGTTCCAGGCTGCCCCGGTGCCCCACTGCTGGGCACCTGCAGCTCTGGCCCTGCTGAGGGCCGGAGGCTGACTCCTGCAAACCCTTCCAGGGTGACGCCGGCCGCCCAGGACGCAGAGGGCCCCCGGGGGAGAGCGGGGCCAAAGGCAGCAAGGTGAGCCCCACCCCCACCCCACGCTTAGCAGCCACGGGGCTGCTCTCACCGGCGGTGCCCCGCTGGGCCCGGGACAGGGCAGGGGCGGGAGGGACGGGCGTGTGCCCCAAGCACGCTGCAGCCCCGCTGACCGGGCGCCCTCCCAAGGTGCCCCGAGTGTGAGGGGCACCCACCGGCGCCTGTGTGTGAGGCAGACGGGTCCCCGTGCACATGGCGGGGTGAGCGCCACGCACCAGCCGGGTGCAACCCCTCCATGCCTGCCTCCCCAGGGTTACCAAGGCAACAACGGATCCCCCGGAAGTCCCGGCGTGAAAGGAGCCAAGGGTGGGCCTGGGCCCCGCGGACCCAAGGGCGAGCCCGTGAGTCTCTGCCAGCATCGCAGGCCCTGGGGGACCCTCACCTCGTCCGCCTGCCCAGCCCCTGCTCTGGGTCTCCAATGCCGAGGTCCCAGCCCCTGGGAGCGTGCCCCCACCCCCATAGCGGCAGAGGGGGCGCCAGGCCTCTGGCAGGACCCGTGTGGGCGGGCACAGCCGGCCCTCGTGACATCCATGTCCTCGCCACCCCGGGGCTCAGAGCTGACCAGGAGCCACCGTCCTCCCCGGCCTCAGCCCGGACGGTGCCCTCTCGGCAAGAGGAGGAGGGTTCAGGGCGCAGCCCGAAGGGCAGGCCGAGGCCATCTGGGAGGAGCCTAGGAGCCCTGTCCCTATCCCCAAAGCCAGAGTCCTCCTGGGGAGCACCGGCCAGAGCGGCTCTGGGCGCACGGGGCTGGGGGCCGCTGCCCTCTGACACACTTGTTCCCTGCAGGGGCGCAGGGGAGACCCCGGAGCCAAGGGCAGCCCGGGCAGCGATGGATCCAAGGGGGAGAAGGTGAGGCACGGGGCGGGGCGGGTGGGGGGAGAAGGTGCGGCACCAGGCAGAGCGGGTAGGGGGAGAAGGTGCGGCGCGGGCGGGTGGGGGGAGAAGGTGCGGCGCAGGCAGGTGGGGGCGCTGGCTGTCTGCGCCTGTCCCATGGTGGTGCCGACAAGCCTGGGTGATGCCCCAGGCCCCCCAAGAAAAGCAACTCTCGGGGCCTCCCATCGAGGGTGGTTGCTCCCTGGAGAGTCTGGGGTGGACAGGAAGGGCCCCCCCTCCCGGCCAGCTGCCGAGGGCTGGGGCCCCATGCCATGCACAGCTGTGTAGGCTGCGCACTGCTCCGCCCCACTGCGCCTCCGCACACACCTGCCCCTGTGGCCGTAGCTCTCCGGGTGGTGCTGAAGGGCTTCCTCCTCAGAGGGGGCGAGACCCCTGCCCGCGCTGTGGGAGGCCTCAGTGGGAGGCATCAGGCACAGGCTGGGGGAGGGGCAGCATCCCAGCATCACCCGGGACAGACGGGGTCTTCCTCCCTGATGCCCACCCACACCCCCAGCCACACCTGTCTCCCAGGTGGGACCTAGGCCCCGGGTCCCAGCCGAGCCCCAACCCAGTGTCTCTCTGACAGGGGGACCCCGGCCCTGAGGGGCCCAGAGGCCTGGCCGGAGAGGTTGGCAACAAAGGAGCCAAGGTAAGTGGGGGGCAGGGGTGGAGGGGGCCTGCCTGCCTCCCCAGTACCCCACTCCTACCCAACACTGCCTCCCTCCCCAGCAGCCCTCCCCCACCCAACCCTGCCTGCCTCCCCAGATCCTTCCCCCACCCCACCCTACCTCCCTCCCCACCTCCCACCCAACCCTGCCTCCCTCCCCAACCTCCCTCCCCTACCCAGCCCCCAGCCTCCCCAGCCCCCAGCTGGCCCTGCCCAGGCCTGCTGTGGTCAGGGCTCAGGGTCAGGCCAGCGGGTCTGCTCACACCCAGACCCTGCCGACATCTGCAGGGTTGACGTCGGGGTCTCTGGGGTGCCACCGCCAGTCGAGAAGACCCCAGCTTTGTCCCATTTCTTTCCAGGGAGACCGGGGCTCTCCGGGACCCAGAGGCCCCCCGGGGGCTCTTGGGGAGCCTGGGAAGCAGGTCAGTGGGGGACGCCTGGAGCCCCGCGGCTGGGGGCCCCATCTGACTTCCAACCTCAAGGTCCACCTGGGCCCCCACCCGTGGGCAGGATGGGCCAGCTGCCGGCCACTGTCCCCATGGCCGACCTGGGCAGCCACCCCAGGGGTCCGGAAGCCAGGATCTCACCCCCTCATTGCCTTGCCCTGGGGGCTCTCTGGGCCCCCACCCTGCCCTGCCAGGTGGGGGTGTTGGGGGCCCAGGGTGGAGGGCCTGGGGGGCACGTGAAGTGGGGGCACTGGGACCTCAGGACTCAAGTCCACAGCCCCCCAGGGCAGCACAGTGAGGTGGGGCCATGTGGCCTGCTGGTCAGAGCTGGCCTGGCCGTGTCCGGTGACACTAGCCCTGCATCAGACCGTCTGTGCCAACTCCCCATTTCTCTCCTGGCCTCAGGGATCTCGGGGAGACCCCGGTGATGCTGGGCCTCGCGGAGACTCGGGACTGCCTGGCCCCAAGGTACAACCCTCCCCACCCAGCAGGATGGGACAGGGCCCCAGGGAGCAGCCCGGGAGGAGGGTGACAGGCTGGCCAGCCTGGGGTGCTGTCCCCAGCTGTCGAGCGCGGCTGGTGCTTCAGGGTCCAGGCAGCCCCTCCCTCAGCATCCACCTGGGTGTGGGTGCCACGTCCTTCCCGAGGCAGGGCCACAGGGTGGCCACGTGGTCTGTGTGAGCCGTCTCCCCAGTGTGTGGCAGCCCCTCCGGGGCCCCAGGCACACCGGCCCGGACGGCCCCCTTGTCATTTCACACAGGGGGCGCCTGCGTCCCGCTGGGCACAGCCCCAGCCCCACCCCATCCTCAGTCCTTGCTTCTTTCTCCAGGGAGACCCCGGCAGGCCCGGATTCAGCTACCCGGGACCTCGAGGAACACCTGTGAGTCATGGCGTGGGACGGGGGCTCCCGGGAGGGGTGCAAGTTGTCAGGAGGGCGCGGAAGATTCCCAGGGGGCTCCGTCAAAGCCCCCTGTGCCTGAGAAAGCACGAGCCCCCCCGGGGGACGGGGAGGGCACGGGGTCCCTCGGTGCAACGCAGGTCTGGCCACGCACCGGAGACCCGGCGAGGTCCGGGGTCCTGGACGCAGCTCCTCGTGGAAGAGAGGGCGGCCCAGACGCCGCGAGCCTTCACCCCAAGGAGCCTTCGTGTGAACTCTAATAATGGAAGGTTCCCGGAGGTCAGACGCCGGGTCTGTGGCCAAGGTTCCTGACCTCTGTCTGCTTCACAGGGAGAAAAAGGCGAGCCCGGCCCTCGTGGCCCCGAGGTATGTGGGCCCCTCCTGCCCCCTGGGGCTCCGCACACCCACCCGCTGTGGCTGGGGAAGCCACGCTCGCTGTCTGGCCTTCATGGAGCTCGTCCCTGCTCCCCAAGGCCAGGCCACGCGGCCCCCACTGAGCCCACCTGCCAGTTCCCGTCAAACCTGAAACTGGGGCCTGTCTGGGAAACCTCCCAGGCGTTGCCCTTTGTCGGACTCAGTTGCCAGACATGTGTTTTTCCTGATGAAAAGCAAGCCCGAGTCCCGGGTAGACCGCTGGGGGCCTGGAGGGTACGACCATCCCTGCCCATCCCCTCCACCCATGCCCTGCACGACCATCCTCACCCCCCATGCCCCACCATCACCGCACACTATCGCCGCCACACCATATTCCAACCCATCCCCCACACCATCCCCCACCATCCTCCACACCATCCCCAACACCATCCCCCACACCATATTCCACCATATCTCACCATCCCCCATCCCATTCCATCCCCACCACCGATCCCCCCACACCAAATCCCCTGCCATCCCCCACACCATCCCCTGCCATCCCCCACCATCCCACAGCACATGCCCCGCACTCATCATCCCACACCAATCCCCTGCACCATCCCCCACGCCATCCCCTCCATCCCCACCATCTACAACCCATCCCCGCACCATTCTCACACCATCCCCCACCATCCCACACCATCCCCCACCATCCCCCACACCATCCCCACCATCCCACATCATCCCAGCCACACCTATCCCCACCATCCCACACTATCCCCATCCCACATCCCCACCATACCCCCCACCATCCACCACTATCCACTACATATCCCACACCATTCCTAACCATCCCCACCATATCCCACACCATCCCCCACCGTATCCCACCATCCCCCACCCCATCCCATCCCCCACCCCATCCCACGGCCACCCCCAGGCCCAGCGTCCTAGCATGCAGGCCTCACCAGCAGGCAGGGTCCCCCGCTCCTGCCTTCCCTCCAGCAGGGCCGGGTGCCGCCCGGCGGTGCGGTGCGTTGAGGACCGAGCAGGAGCAGAGGAGGGCGAGGCGGGTGACGGTGGATCCCACGGGGGGAGGGGGAGGGAAGGGGAGGGCAGGTGGGCATGGCGGCCGTCCCTGGGCGGGGGAGCCTTGTCAGGGTGCGTGGCACGCCGCCATCCGGGGCCCTCTGCGCCCGTGCTGGCCTGTGCCCGTGCCGCTGTGACCGCCGCTCCCAGCGGCTGCTAAGCCGCCCCCTGCTCCCTCAGGCAAGACCCCGGTCCCCGGTGAGCCAGGCCCTCGGGCCGAGAGGAGTCCCAGACCCGAGGTAGGGCTGCGGCGTCCCCCTCCCAGACCCCCGCCCGGGCAGCAGGAGCCCATCCATGGCCTGAGCCCCGCTCCTGCCCGCAGCCCGCTAGGGGCCAGTGCCGGCCGGGTGACTCGGCCCACGGCTTCACTTCTCGCTGTCAGGGCTTCTCCTGCAGGGCCGAGCCCGGCCCCCCCTGTGAGACCCTGCTCACGGTAGGTGTCACCTTGGGCGACGT